TTTTTTACACAAATTGCCAATTTGGTTATCAGTTTGTAACGTCATTGACTCACTTTTTATCGATTGCTTTAAATATTTGTATCCCATTCATTTCCCTTTTATCCCCCAAAACTTGTCCCTATGCCTTTGTCCAGATCATATGATTTGTATCATATTGCGTGAATGACATTTCACAAAATATGTTATGAACGTTAAAGAATTGATATTATTTTCTGAATATTTTATAGTCATAATCATTGATTTTTACATTCATGATTCATGATTTCATGATTAAACAGGAAAAATAATTACTCTATATTAGTGCATCCACACAAGAACATAATACTATCAATATAACTTGGATTGATGGTGTGAGGAAATTTTAGGAGGAAAATTCAAAATTATTATTATAAGGAAAAAAAATAAGTGGATAGTGAGGCAATGACGTCACAGACTCATGAGTGAGTTGCTAATTTGTCTTCTGATTTTCAAAGTTTTTCATGTCAATAAAAACTCATAACTTTCTTATTAGCAATCCGATGTTGCTCAAACTTTTTTTGATTGCTTTGTCTGATTTTTCTGCTTCTATTGAAATTAAGTTAATTTTGGAGTGAACTTGCCCTTTAAAGGTCGGGCAAACTATTTCTCAAAACCACAAATTACTCCTAATGGAGGTCACGCGCTGGCTGAGAGGTAAATATTACCAAATTATGATTGTTATGATTTCTGTCAAGAATTTTGCTAAACTTGCTTAATGATATGAATAAAATGGAGAATTTAAGGTGGAAACAAACTTCGAACGAAAGGAATTGACCAACACTTATCGGTAGTCGGTTTTCTGCATGAGGAAGATAGTCTCACATCATATTCCACAACGACCGCAACTATTTTTAGATTTCTGACCTTGTGTCTGATTTTGACTTCGATATGGCCTTTGATTTTGTTGTTGACCTAGACTTTGCCTTGGATTTTGTCTTTGTTTACTGTGAAACAACTTTCTCTTACTCCCAAGAGCATCAACCGAGACCCCATCCGTTGAACTCAGCTCTTTTGCCTGAGCTCGAGTAGTTTCAGCAGAACGACACAACTGTAAAGTCTTATCTAGCGTCAAATCATCTTGCCTCAATAGGCGTTCCCTGACCATGGAGTTCACAATTCCATAGATAATACTATCACGAATGAGACTATTCTTTAAGTCCCAAAATCACAAGACTTAGCTCTATTGCGCAATTCAGTTGCATACTAATCTTTTGTCTCATTTTCGTGTTGAGAACTTGTGAAAAATTTGTGTCTCTCAAATGTTACATTACGTTTTGGCATGCAATAGTTCTCAAATTTCTTTAGCACTTTTTCTAATTTCAACTCATCTCCTGTGCATGCCTTGAACCATAATGCATGGCCCTTCAGAGGAATTTTTCCTGTTGGGGACCGGGGGAAAATGCAATGAATTACTGATAATTTATTGCATTTTCTTTGGGTTTTTTTTGTAATTGAGGGGGCGGCGACCGGGTGATGTACCCTATCCCCCGCTGCGTACAGTTATGATTCAGTGGCTAAGCAATTGCCTCGGCATTGTGAGCCCCCAGGATCAAAACCGTGTAGATGTGCTATACTAGTGCCCTTTTGTGAGGCATTAATCCTCATTACTGTCAGTTATGACTTAAGGACGTAGGTCCCCAAGTTGATTAGCATAGTACTATACACATTATTTAGCAGTAACGCAAAACAAACACTCACAAATTATCATTCAATAAAATCTGAGAATGTATACTATTATTTAGATCTATTAGGAATAAATCATTGTCAAATTCATTCCATAATTAGGGTTAAAATAATTATTCCATCTTTATGACCAACAGTTTATCTTCCTCAAATTGGAACGTATTGTAAATGTCAAGAGCTTCTTTCCCTATGCCAACGCAGGAGAATGGATGTTTGTGCTTTTTCTTCTTTTTGTGAATAGAAATCCCATCCATGCCCAAGCTCCCTGTTGATACTAAAATTTACCTACTAAACTGATGTTAAAGCCACACTGTCCTACTTGTAACTACTTGCTCCCTCTATATAGACAAACAATGGCTTATCGGTGACCATTGGTCCCCATGATCCTCTTTATTTAATGTTAATTGAGAGCTGAGTTGATGAGATAACCACCTGTCCAGTGACCTCGCAGGGCGGTTTTTCCCCTCCTTAAACTAGTACAGATAAGCTTTAACAACCCTTCGGACTACACTAATTACCATCAAAGTATAAGTGAAGTGTAAAAAAAAGGTATATTGCTTGGTTTTATCAGGGAGGTGGTTTTATACTATAGTTTTGCTAAGGAAAGTAATTTTTTAATACAACAAAACTTCAAAAACATGTGAAGGGGTAGTCAGTGCCGTCACCTTCGCCCCTCTCGTTCACTTTGCTCCCTCGACCCTCGCACTAGCGTACTGATGGCGGCTTGGGGAGCAGTTGCCCCCATAAAAATCCCCCCTTGGGCTGGCCAAGGTGCTTTCTACCCCCCCCCCCCCCCGTCCACGCCATAGAAAAGAACTCGGCTAGATCCGCCCGTTAAAATTCGTCATCCTTTGTTATTAGACGACGAAATTCTCATAACCATCTTTGGTACAAGCTCGCTGATTGGCTGTTTATTCACTTGGGGCGTCATTGAGAACGCCCGTAGATTTGGCCAAAACCCGTTCTGGATTTCAGTACCTCAGCGATTAGTCTGCAGGCACAGACCCTAATTTGACACTTTATCAACAAATCATTGTGCCTTGAGAGAAGTCTAGCCCAGCTACCTACTGGTTGTGTCAGTATAGGGTCTGTACAGGTTTACCAAAACTGCTTCCCACGGCCAAAATCTAGCTCCACCCTCTTCTCCAGGGTCACCTGTGATTGGTTGCTATACAATGTCCATCACCCTCTCTTGGGACTGGCTGGCAAGCTCTCAGTAACAAGATAATTGGGAAGGCAGATAAGATATGACCACCAGTTAAATTAAAACAACACTGGGCCAGGCCAAACACCAGCCAGACCAAACACCTTCATTCAGACCAAGTTTTGCCCTCTTGGCTTGCTGGATGCAAAATACAGAAAACTGAAGAGTTATTTCCATCCGAGTAAGCTCAAAGCGGCATTGTATTTCTTTACAATCCTGATGAGTAATAAAAAGGGAGATACAGATGCTATAGGCCTACTGGGCAAGACATCTTGAATCTGTTCATTGAACAACAACAAAATTTGGGGGGCCCCACCTCCTTTTATTTTGAGTTTGCAGTCACATTTTCATGTTCTTGTTTTTCTTAACAAAACTCCCAGCAACCTCCCTCCCCCCATCTATCTCATCCTAATTTTCTTATCTCTCACTCTCTACCTCATGAGAATTTGAAAATGAAATGTGAGTTGTGTTTTTTTTTTTTCCCTCAAGATTGTTTAATGTTGAAATAAAGTTAACAAATTTTCTCTGAAAATGCTTAAGGTAGCATATAATTATGATGGTATATTTAGAATGCTTGAGTTTATCCTCAACATTTTGATACACATTGACCACCAAATACCTTTCCTGTCGAGCTATTGGTGAATGAAAATGACAAGTCTATATACTAAACTGCTAAATGTCAAAATAAAAGCGAAAATATTAAGGGCAGTACATTCAGAACAGGAAATATGTTACTTTTCTCTGGTCAGAACAAGAAAGTTATCTGAGAGGTCTCGCAGCCATCCCTGAGTTTATGCCTTAGTTTAAAACAAACATAAATGTAGCCTACTACTAGGGTCTATTGTCTAGGCATATGATTATGTAACTGATGTTGTAAGAGAAAACACAGTGGATAGGGGATACTGAGAGATAAGACAGAGAATTATGTCCATATCTCACTTCAGCAAGATTATGAAGCAGGTCTTCTGCTCATCTCTAGCTCTAACTCTCTTCAAACATCCAGAGCTTTCACATTGTCATGGTCGATTTTGCAGTGTTCCTGCCTCGCTCATCTCACTTTCCCATGTAGCATCATGAAGTAAAATCGTTTTTGGAGGCGGGAGTGGTGCTGAAGAAAGAGCAATGCCAGGCAATTAACAGTATTCTCACTAACCAGCAGGATACTCTTGTAGTATTACCAACTGGTTACGGAAATCCTTAGTGTACCAAGCCCTTCTGAGTGCTTTTGAAGTTACCCCCCCCCCCGAGTGCCCAAACTTATCTACATTATTGAACAAATTAGGGAGCAAAGCGACCGACAGGCAAGTTTTTTTCATTTTCACCCTGAAAAACTGAATATGTTGAGTTTACCCAGGACAGTTTTGACCTCTGTAATTGAGCGGTAGAGAAGCTAGAATTTTATATATTGAAAAATGTTTTTCTATTCACTCACTTCTACAATCGGGAGCAAAACTAACAAAAACCCTTGAGAAATACTGAAGTTAGGATTTCTTTCAAATGTTGAAGCTTTGTAAATCAAGTTTAAGTTCAAGTTCGTTTATTTACACTCATCATTAAAAATACAAGAACATATACAATTAAATGAGGAATAATCACACATAAAATATCATACATTCAACAACAACAAAATAACATAACATAATGGGAGTGAAGGGATGAGCTAAAAAGGAGTGTTGTCCTTATGCTAGAGCCCATCCCTCAGTATAATATAAATAAAAGGTAAATTAAATGTTGTACGATTGGAAGCATGACAAAAAGAGGGAAAACAAGGGGGGGGAAAGAGCCTGGTGAGTTATAGCACGTAGGATTCAATTAAATACATTTTATATTTTCGTTTAAAAGTTTGAAGACTTTTGCAATTTCTTATATTTATTGGAATGGAATTCCAAATTTTTGGACCATCGAAAGATATTGACTTTTTCATTAAAGTTGTTTTAATTTGAGGTAAGTGGAAATTAGTTGCATTTCTAGTTTCATAATCATGAAAGGTCGAATTCAAATTAAAATACTTTAGAAGTGCACATGGTAAAGATTTATTTCGACACAAGTACATGTTACACAGGCTTCCTATGCCTGCGCCGGTTCAATTAATTAAGATTAGTAAACACGGAGATCCATTAAAATACATAAGTCTGAAACATATATTTTGTGCCAATGATAATTCCAAAGAGGTATTTATTAATATTCAGTGTCACAGGTACACCGATAATAAATTCCAAGTGTGACAACTGGCATCTTCGATTTCAACAACAATCGGGATTCTACAAATACAGCTACATGCAAAGCTTTACAATATGTTGTACAGGTATACAATACATGATAAAAAAAGGAGCAAAGTAAACTACAGTATACATTAGAAAATATCAAGGATAGAAGAAAAGAATAGATGTTCATATAAAGCACCAATGATAAAACACAAGTCGTTCGTCAATAAGCACTAAATACATCGATCAGGCGGGGAGCGTTGCCTGAACAACGACAGCAGTCCCAACTCTTGTCCCGAGGGAAATGGAAGTGGAACCATGGTGGAACCATGGTGGAACTCTGTTAAGAAACAACATCAAGGCAGGTCTTAAAAAGCTGCGACATAGTAACTTCTGGGGGAAGTTACATCACACGTCTATCTGCCTTGAAGTCTAAACTTGCTCTCCTACTTAATCAATAATAATTCTTCTTTATATGGAACACAGTAATTCAACAAGAGTATTTTATCGTCTTACAAGTAGTTATTGGGCTATCACTAAACTATCTAATCAAAAGTATTTTACAATGACTGAAATATCTATAAATAGGTCTGGCTTGTGGAAAGTGGTATCTTAATTCATACACAGTCACAACCATCTTGTATCAAAAGTTAAGGGACAAACACATGAAAATATAATACAATGGGTTTTCCAACGCAAGGAGAATCACACTAAACAATATCATACAATTAATTCAAATTGCATGAGGAACTTGTGATATCTCTATAATTTACTAGAATAGAACATGAATATATTTTTAGGAAGGTGGTTGTTCGCTTACCTGTTAAGAAACAAAATCAAGGCAGGTCTTAAAAAGCTGCGACATAGTAACTTCTGGGGGAAGTTACATCACACGTCTATCTGCCTTGAAGTCTAAACTTGCTCTCAACGAGAAAGCCAATCTTTCTTCCAAAACAGGCAAACAACCCCACTATTCCCTATCCCCAAGACAAAGGGGTACCAGTAAGTGTATCCACTGGTCATTCATGATTTATGTACTCTACGAATAAAGGAAGTGGTCTGGGTTTAAGACATAAACAAGGCCTATAGAATAGGGGTCTTTTTGTTCCCATCTCTTTGTTTCACCAGTAGCATATACCAGAGAGGTGATCTTAATAGAAACATAGTTTAAAGGTACACTTTAAACAGGGGTTCAACAATTTAAAGTAATATAAGCTTACTCAAAAATAGAAAATAGGTTTACTCAAAAAAAATAGAATATACCTTAATAAACAGGGTCTGACACTCTCCCCTCCTAGAATCATGGCGTCCCGACATATTTAATTACAAGTCAATACAATAATACATTTCCGCAGACTTCAGAGGACAGAGAGAGATTAACCAATCTCATACTTTCCTACCTAGATGGCAAGATGTAATTCTCTGTAGATGACCTCAACATTGGGTGCACCTCTTCAGTCAAACACCGCATCCAACTATCAGACGACACTCCCTTTCCAGAGAACTGCCGAATGATTCCTCCTGCCACTATGCTTCATTCTTGGGTAGAATGAGCTTCACCCGGGAAGGGTGGTGGCAATTAAGGATTTCATTGGTTTGGTGCTAACTTGTCCAATAAAACTTGTAAAATAAAAATAACCAGTGCCAGCGTTGTCGTCTCTGACTGAACGCAACCTAATTGTCAGTGTGAAAATGCAGATGGGCCTCGATGTACCCAATGTATGGAACTTCTGATTTCACCTGCACCAAACACGAACAGGTCGTCATGGATTCCAAGTGACGGTGCGCTAACTTTTTGTGATAACAATAAGCAGATATGCATATCACTTGGGATCGACCCAGTGCCCATAAGGCACTCACAGGGCACACACTCCGTCAACCTCAGCCCAGACAGTGAATTGGGTACCCACTACTAGTGCGGCTGGAGGTTTATCAGATGTGGCCCGATGAGATGGCTAATTCATCTGCAAACTCATAATTGCAGATCGCCTTATGGGACACTTCTTAGGTTTATCTTTGGCCACCTGTTCGGCCAGAAACTTCACTAGCTCTGCCTTAAACTTAGAGTCAGAGTCAGACATTTTTAAAAAGATTATAAAGCTAAACTATCCAAAAACAGGGTTAACAAAATGATCCGGGCAGTGCCTCCATTTGTTACACAGACTTCCTATGCCTGCGCCGGTTCAATTAATTAAGATTAGTAAACACGGAGATCCATTAAAATACATAAGTCTGAAACATATATTTTGTGCCAATGATAATTCCAAAGAGGTATTTATTAATATTCAGTGTCAAAGGTACACCGATAATAAATTCCCAGTGTGACAACTGGCATTTCCGATTTCAAACAACAATATTACAAAAACAGCTACATGCAAAGCTTTACAATGTTTATTACAAGAATGATAGCAAAAGAGCAAAGTAAACTACACTGTACAGTAGAAACATATTAGGGAATAGAAGAAAAGAATAGATGTTCATATGAAGTACAAATGATAAAACACAAGTCGTTCGTCAATAAGCACTAAATACATCGATCAGGCGGAGAGCGTTGCCTGAACAACGACAGCAGTCCCAACTCTTGTCCCGAGGGAAATGGAAGTGGAACCATGGTGGAACCATGGTGGAACTCTGTTAAGAAACAAAATCAAAGCAGGTCTTAAAAAGCTGCGACATAGTAACTTCTGGGGGAAGTTACATCACACGTCTATCTGCCTTGAAGTCTAAACTTGCTCTCCTACTTAATCAATAATAATTCTTCTTTATATGGAACACAGTAATTCAACAAGAGTATTTATCGTCTCACAATTAGTTATTGGCTTTTACTAAACTATCTAATGATGAGTATTTTTACAATGACTGAAATAACTATAAATACGTCTGGCTTGTGAAAAGTAGTATCTTAATTCATACTTAGTCACAACCATCTTGTATCAAAAGTTAATGGATAAACACATGAAAATATAACAATGGGTTTTCCAACGTAAGGAGAATCACACTAAACAATATCATACAATTAATTCAAATTGCATTAGGAACTTGTGATATCTCTTTAATTTACTAGAATAAAACATGAATATACTTTTAGGAAGGTGAATGTTCGCTTACCTGTTAAGAAACAAAATCAAGGCAGGTCTTAAAAAGCTGCGACATAGTAACTTCTGGGGGAAGTTACATCACACGTCTATCTGCCTTGAAGTCTAAACTTGCTCTCAACGAGAAAGCCAATCTTTCTTCCAAATCAGGCAAACAACCCCACTATTCCCTATCCCCAAGACAAAGGGGTACCAGTAAGTGTATCCACTGGTCATTCATGATTTATGTACTCTACGAATAAAGGAAGTGGTCTGGGTTTAAGACATAAACAAGGCCTATAGAATAGGGGTCTTTTTGTTCCCATCTCTTTGTTTCACCAGTAGCATATACCAGAGAGGTGATCTTAATAGAAACATAGTTTAAAGGTACACTTTAAATAGGGGTTCAACAATTTAAAGTAATATAAGCTCACTCAAAAATAGAATATAGGTTTACTCAAAAAAATAGAATATACCTTAATAAACAGGGTCTGACATACATAAAGACTGCAATATGATATTCACAGATATCAAATACATTGAGAAGCTTTAAGTTATAAAATATAGGTTTCGAATGAGCTCTGTAGTGTGAATTTGAAATTACCCGGATGGTTTTCTTTTGCATTTTGAGTATCCTATTCAGATTGGTTTGGCTTTTCATGGCCCATACTTCAGAACAGTAATATAAATGAGGAAGAATTAAAGTATTATATAACATTCTTAAAACACATTTTGGTAGAAATCTAAGTTTGTTTAGAATGCCAGTATTTTTTGAGATCTTGTTGCAGACAGCACCAAAATGCTGTTTTATACACTTTTTCTTATCTTGGGGTGCAATATTTAGCAGGAGTCAGATGAAACTTTCACGATAGCGAGCAAAGCAATGATAATTATATCTTTTATTTTAAAATGTTTGAACTCTTTAAGCTATTTAAGAACTGTATACCGGGGACGTGAAATTACGAGATTTTGAAAGAAAATAATTATGCGAGGGCGCAAAGTGACCAAGCTTTAGAAAAATTTCGCATTTCAAACTCTCAAAAACTAGATTACGTGCATTTACCCTGCGGATTTGGGGGCATATAATCCGTAAGGATTAGGACTTTTCTTCACTTTCCCCTTCTTTTCTTTCTCTCCATTGCCTCTTTGTGCCCCTCCAAGTGCCCCACCCCCCTAGATACGCCACTGTGTGGATATAATATATGTACTTTACGAGAGATGCAAGTGTACCAACAGTAAGTTATTAATTGACAGTAATGTTATTTTGTCATGAGAGGTTTTTGGCGCCATGCAGATCTGTACAAATTGATATAAAACCTTAAATGATATGATAAACTACTAAAACAGGCATATCAGACACATAATTCATTGCTGTGATCAAAATACTTTGATGTAAATAGACAATGTATTCTAAAAATCTTTCTTAATATGAGAGCATTCCCCCTAATGTTACCTTGCTTGATATTGTTTGAAATGGGAACTGGAAATAAGGTGAGTCACACATTTTTGTTCCACATTAACTCGGCACATACCTCTTCAGTATTGAATGGAGTAAAGATATGGTAAGCCTATAACATTATGAAAATAATCTTCTGACTTTGGGAATTTCAGTTGATTTGAAAAAGATTTACCAAGAATCTGAGACTGTATTTTATGAATGAGAGCGATAAAAATCGAATGTTGTAACATTGTTAATTCTACTTTGTATTGATATCATAAAATGCTCAATAGTTGTCTTAAATGTGAAACTGTTACGTCCTCTACCATTACAACCACTTCAACCTAATGTTAAGTTTTATTTATGGGAACCTATAATCTACAAGCTGAGCTTTTTAATAGGTTCCTCACATTTCACTCTGTACAACCTTCTATTCATTACAATTAATTTCGACGTCTTTTCAAAGAATTAATTATATAATGTGACACTTTTAGTATATTTCACATTACATGTACATGTTCTAATTTTGTCAAGAATTATGTGAATTCTTTTTTTGGGGGTGAAATGTGAAACAAATAAACTTGAAACTTGAAACTTGAAACATTAAACAGGTGTACTTGTAATATCAACAATTCCAAATCCCTGTTGTGGCCTGTAAAGAATTCATCAATTCTATGAGGACAATAATGAGAGATTTAGGACAGTAACCCATCCATACTGTGCCCAAATGTTATGGCATCTTTAAAGCGTCCTAATTTTGAACCAACTTAGTCATCTTATATGGCCCCTAAATTTCAAAGCGCATCAGAAGAACCCTAACTTCAGACTTGTCATTGTTCACAGTGAATTAATAAGTTCTACATTTGGTGACAGGGTTTATCGTCAACAAATTGTATGTTTTGTGTGTATAATTATAAGGACATATTTTCTTTATATCAGACCACTGCAGTACATTTGCTTATAATTCAAACAACACTCTTTGTGTCCTTTGAATTTGTTCCATCAAATAGTACTTTGGGAAGATACATGACTGCATTACAGGCGCTTATTTGTACATGTATCTGTGGAGTGCGGATATCTGGGTGAAAACAAAAAAATTGTGACCGACTGCATGTAAAAATGTATATTACTTTAAACGCTATCATACTGTATGTGCAAGAAAAAAAAGTACATTACTAGACAAAATGTACCTTCATGATTTGTTGCGCGTATTAAAGTTTATCAACTGAAATCGTGACTTAAATTAAGCTTCCACAAATTGGCATCTTAATTATTATTCACGTACATTATGTCTGCACTGGGAAGGATATATTACTTAGGATATTATTATTCTCTGATTTTCTCCAACTTCATCTTCTTACAAGTTTAGTGTTTCATCACATGGTTTTGGTGAAATGGGTTTTTCATGATTCGATCAGTATTCTGCTTTAAGCTTTTTAATTAAAGCTGTAAAAATTCAACATTGGTCTTGTTATTTGTCGAACAGGACAAAAGTAGCCCCCCTCCCTGTCAATGCCAAATATATTTGTCATTTTGAGATTTGTCAACATAAATCGGACATTGAAAAAATTGGGTGGATAATGATTCTTTACAAGTTTGATATATTTGGCTGCCCCTGTGGATGTATTATAAGCACTAGAAAATTTGGCCCCTAAAACACTTCTGCTTTCGAGAAAAATTGAATATAAAAATTTACCGGTGCTCCCGGTAAATTTTGATGAATTTCAAATAGCGTCTACGGCCGTACAATGGTAGCTGCGACCATGACAATCTCAGAATATGTAGTTGTGATATAAAATTTCCAAACGGAAATAGCTAATCGGTCGATTTTAGTCAAAAACATTGTTTTATAGCTTGATTAATATCTTGACCTTGAGAGGGAACTATACAACATAAAGAGTTTATTATTTACAATTTCATAACTTTAGACTCGATTTCAACCGCGACAACGATCACTGAATATTGAAGGATCGCATATGCTTCCAAATTTTTTGTTTCAACCAAATTCATGACCCCATACCAAAACTGTGTATTACCTTTATTAAATAAATAAAGCATTATCTTGTATGCCTTACACACAATCTGTTTGAAAATTGAAAATTGAAAATTTGTTAATTTCTGCATACAAAGCAAATGGGAGAGGAGCTCACAAGATACATGTATACGTCACAGAGTTGCCAACTGGAAATGAAATTAGCAAACATAATTATGACATAATCATGTACATGTATAAAGTTTATATAATTTGGGTTTCTCCTTGTTGTAGACATAAAAAAGAAGTTTTATGTGAATTTGTAATCATGAACAAAATGAGAAAGAAAGTGAAAGATGAGGTAAAAGGTATAGTAAGGGATGAAAATATATTCAGGTCCTCATAAACCTAAATAAAAATTACAGTAAAATTTATTCTAGCACAAAGAAATGGAGAAAGAGAAGGAATAGACTGGGACAGAAAGGGAAAAAGAAGGAAAAGAGAAGGAAAGAGTGGGACAGAAATGGATAGAGGAAGAGAAAGAGAGAGAGAGAGAGAGAGGGAGAGAAAGAAAGAGAGAGTTTGTGAGTCATACAAGGAGTACACTGTATTTCCTTCCATTTCTTAAAAAATGAAAAATCATGGAGCTAAAAGTTGTACATACATGTATGCATGCACAAGGCTTATAGTACATTGTACAGTACTAAGAACTGGAATCTCATCCATTCCAATGTGTTATGTAATGGTACAATTTCTACCAAGTTGACTTTCATCTCAGTAGGAGGCATGCAAGCCAGCTCTGATAGTGAATGTCAATCATTGTTACCATGACGATCCCTCTCAGAGCTAAGCTCCTCCTATAAGCACAATAAATGCTTATGGGCTCACTTGTTGTACAGACCCTGTGTCAGGTGCAGCTTCAGTACATGGCCTATGGTAGTCTTATAGTGCAGACTCACTTTTACGACTGACCAGGGTTTGTGCTTGCAGACTACTCAGCGATGTAGTAGCTTCTCGATTTTGCACACGAACCGCAGATTCTCTGTCCGCAATGAGCTTGCGAAATATTAATAACCTAATGTTTGTCGAACTGGCAACAACTAATGTATGCAGTTTGGATTCTGTCTATTGAAATAATATTATCCTTATCAGGTGAAAGAAATATTTTGTATCGAGGCACTTCACAAAGACGTATGCATTAAATTTGGTTACATTACGAAAATTGCCAATGGCATCGCAAATGCAATACCTCCGTAGAGATACGTACGCATTCACCGAAAAGTGAAACCACGTATTGTATCGAGGGCGGTCTGTGTGCGACGGCCGTAAACCTGAGTGCTCTGCGTCCGTGAAGGTCTGTATGTTGCTGAGCGAAATCTCGCTATTGTTCAATACGCCACTGGTCCGTCGCATTTCGCCCCCCCCCCCCCCCAATGAAAACGCCCCTGCATGTAGAGCATAATTCAGATGTATTTTGAAACAAGTTAAACGCAAAATAAAAGTGAATGAAACAGCGATAACACTAAAAGAACAAGAACAACAACTTACATAACTTGAGGCCAACGTCATTCACTATATGAATACGATTGGTCTGAAATTGTGTTTGTCATTGTCTTACGTCTGTTCTCGAACTGATTTTGACTTTTTGTAAAGTTTAGGATCCCACAGAGAGTGAAAACTGCTTCGCATTTTTGGTCAGCTAAATGTGTATTCATCGTTTGATGCCCCAATTCAATTCCAAATTTCCAACGTCAAATTACACAGTAGTAATCTTTCTACAAACCAAATATTTACACCAATTGGGTTGCATAATATGTTGGCACCAAGTTTAGTGGATATCTGAATATGCATTATTCCTGGCGTCACAGACGTGCGTCATGCAATCAAAACTTTGACCCGGGCCAACAAGTTATGAAATTTGGAAAGTGTAGTCGGCTTATTGATACCGTAGTGTGATGATTGTTATTTTCTTGTCTTTCCTCACTTAAAATGCAGATTATGTGCAACCCCCCCCCCCCCCAGTTCAAATACCTAGACCAGTTTTGGAAACGCCCCCTCTCAACAAATGAAATGGAAGCTCTTAATACCAATCATGTGAAAGAATAT